ATTAATTTCTAATAATTAACAAATAATAAAAATGGATTTTTCTAATCCAAATTGTGCGTTTAACTCATGATTAATGCAAAATTTGCATTAGAAAAATAAATTTTTATTATTTGTTAATTATTAGAAATTAATTCAATTAAGTTAATGTAATTATTAGAAAAATCAATTATTTTTTATTACTTCTGTTAATTTAAACATAATTATTTGTTAATTTAAAACTCATGAAAGCCCAAACTTTTGAATAAATGTTTCTTTAGTAACAGAATACTGCTTCTTTCTGTTTGTTAAACTAAGACAAACAGATCTGTTTCAATTGTGCTGATTGTAATACCAAGGCACATAGAAGAGAACTCTTAATCACTTGTAAATTGTTTGTCCTTTTATCTGTAGATTAAGGTTTTTTCCCCTAATATTCTGAATTGTGGATGAAGAATTGTGACTTGCATCTGAGATTTGGAAATGACATCAAAATAGTGAGCTCTGGAAATGCAATGGTCAAGATCACTTTGATACAGAAAAAAATACACCTTTGTTCCCCTGGCCTGCTATAGCAAACTCACAGGGGTGCCATGGGATTGTGAACTACTAGCTTGAGGTAGTTCACAGTTTTGGCTTAGGGCCACCATGAAAAAATTAGAGACACCTAGGGCACCATGAAAAGTGAGAAAGTTTGGGAACCTCTGCACTCTACCCTAGATCTAGAGAACCATGCACAGCTTAGTGTTGGAAGCAGCTTTTCTATACCTATAGATTAGACTTCCATGTAATTTGGCTGCTTATCCATCACTTTCAGCCAACCAGATTCCTCAGCCATCAGGAGAAGTTTTATCAAAGGTTCAGAAAGTTGCTGAGGGCCTCTTTTCTTGTGCATTTTTTGAATCCTCCAATTCCATATATAAAACAAAAAAAACCAATTAAGGGCATAATTTTACGGGAAAGAGCTAGAAGGGACTGCAAAAAGCTGAGGAGCTTTCCTGTGCTTATTCCTTATGCTCATTAAATTGGGAGTAAGCTGTAGCAAAATTGACTTCTGAGGATTATGAACATAAATGAGATTCCCTTAAAATGGTTTGGGGAATGTTCATGGGCAATTTGTTCTTTGATGCAGGAGGATTTTGCTACAAATTTGTTTCTAAAATGGGAAGAATGAAGTTTGGCTCCTATGTTAATAATTTTTAATCTTTGCTACAATAAAGTTGAATTTTATGTATTGTATTTTAAAAATAAATATTTAAACATTGCATTTTCAAGCCTCAAGTTACACTAATATTTTGTAGCTGTATATCAGGAGTGGGGAATTGGAGGCAAATGGTTGCATGCAGCTCCGGGAATACCATTTGTGGTCCCCAAAATATCTTGAGATCCCATTGCCAAAGTTCAGCAACAAGATGATTTTGGGTGGGCTAATTTTTAATTAATTTTGTAGTTTGGGGACAGTGTTGTTGGGAAGGGGATGAAAGTGTAATATCTGCATGAGGTAAAATGCTTTTATTATGATTCCTGAACCCTTCCCTTAACAAATTTTGGCCCTTCATTTCAGTAACACCATTGGAGGCTAAATTTTGGCTTCAGTTGCCAACTCCAGCTGAAACCTGTCCTGGAGATGTTCTCTTTTCCAGTAATTGTGTCTCTGTGACACATGTGTGTGGATATATGTGTATCTGTTTATATACCTCTGTGAAGCCACACTCCCAAATATACCCAGGGCCAGGACAAATATATATATATATATTGAATTAATAACTACCAATTGAAATTAATTTCTTGTAAAATAAGGTGCTCTATTTATTATGTTAATTATTTCTGACAAAAACAGCAAAACAAACAAACAGAATGGAAATGGAGTACGAGGAAGTGGTAACTGCATGCAAAAGGGAAGGAAGAAAAAAGGGCAGGATAGGAAAAAAAAAACAAGAGAAACCCTGTTTAGCCGTTTCAAGAAGGGCTAATCACTATGTCCTCAATAATGAGTAATTATCAGTGGTGGCCAGCTTTTCAGCATTGATCTCCTGTCCATTTCTTTATTTTCAGCAGCTTCTAGGGCTGTCCAAAGTATTCAAAAGGGCCAAAACACTCCTTGAAGCACTAAAACAGCCATGGTCTCAACTCTGCTGGTGGTTCCAGTGGAAGTGTTACCTGTTCACAGACACCCATGTGGAAAATTGAGAAAATCCTTTGAAGCAACTCATGCTCAGCCTTCCAGAGCACATGGTTGATTTAATGCATCAAAGAGGGTACTTCGCTTGGCGTATAGTGAAGTGCCCCTTTTGAATGCTTTTAAACCATAACAGCTTTTTCTATTCTGATCAGTATTTTAAGATTGACTTCCTCAATTTACAGGTAATTATTTGAGGGATAAAACTTGTCTTAAATATGGTAATATGAAAATAAGAAATGAAATGTTTGCAAAAGTATGCTGCAAATACTTTGAAAGTAGAGCATCCTATCACTGCATACACTTAGGAATAATTGTTTCATTGATCCTCTTTTCACATTCAGTATATAAGGATTTTTTTCCATGAATGCCTGGTCAGTTCACTTCCACTAGTTTTTGCTTAGCTTACCACTCTGAAGAATGTTTGACTAGGTATAAGAAAGCTGTGTGTATCATTTTTAACATTATTACATATGTTAAAGATAGATCATTCTCTTAAAATTTTAAAGATGGCTGTTAACCTAGTTAGGAAGAAAAAAACTTTCAGTTTTTCCTCTTTGTTTCTATAGTTTTCTTATTGTTTTCACTGTATATGTTCAAATCTGGCTATGTTTTAAGAAGAAATACTATATGTAATTTCAAAACTTTCATCTCTTTCTAATCTTAGTAAAAAATTAATTCTAAAATGAGATATATTTAACACTAGAGCTAGTGTGTGTATATTTCTAAAAATACACCATAGGATTTTAGGTAGAACTTCAGGTTCAAATTGATGTTATATTTTTCAGGTATTTCAAGGCCTCGCGCTGATAGTGCTCCACCTACACCAGTAAATAGATTGAGCATGCCCCAAACTGCAGCTGTTAATACAACCCCACCTCATAATCGGAGACATCGTGCTGTAACTGTGAATAAGCCAACAATGAAAAACAGCACAGTAAGTCTTTATCCTTAGCAACAGCTATGTTTTTGTAATATTTCCAATAATAAAGATAACTGACATTATTACATTATAAGCAGGTATATGATTAAAGTTCTAAACAAATGCTTTTTTTTCATTCAAATAGGCTAACACTGCTCATGCTTCCAAACACCAGCCATCTTCTACTTCTCCACTGTCTAGCCCAAACCAGACTAGTTCTGAACCTCGACCGTTACCTGCCCCTCACAGGCCAAAAGTTAATAGTATCTTGAACCTCTTTGGATCGTGGCTGTTTGATGCAGCCTTTGTTCATTGTAAGCTTCATAATGGAATAAACAGAGACAGCAGTATGACTGGTAAATATTTCAATCAATTCTATAGACCTCATCCTCTTTGTTGGCATTAATGTGTTTGGCTAATCAAAATTAAAACTGGACAAAATAGTATGATTAACATGTCAGTGTGAAATACTACATTGTTTAATATAAATAACATTTTGATTTTATTGACAAGGGACTGTAACAATTAAAAGTCAAATTTTGAAGTTGGATCACTTATTTTTACTGAAACTTGAAAGATGACTTCTACAGCCATATTGGCTGAGAGAAAGTGACATGAGGGGAATTGTTTATGCCTTTAAAAAGTATTACTTCAAAAGCAGATTTCCTAACTGAATAATTTCAAGCAGTTAATTAGTAGAATGGGTGGCAAGCACTATAATAGGATGTGTCTGCATTGTTTGATCATTGCTTGAATTTGTTTTTCAGAATTGGTATTTGGGTTTCTGTCAGAATTCCTGTCATGAAATCTATGCATTCCAGTGTTTAGTTAAATTCTTTAGCTTCAAGGGTTCTGTAAACCTGTAGTTTTCAAATCTTTGATAATCAGTTTTATTTTATCTGACCTTCTCATAGTTTTTTTAAATGTCCATATAAAACTGGACGTAACAGAAATGATGTATACAGGGTTAAACAAATTATTCACAACCAATATATGTTTCATTGTATTAGTTTACAGTTCCACTGTTACTATGCCAAACCTGACTGCTGTCTGTTGGGGCAAGACATTTCTAACTGAATAAAGCAATTTATAACAAAAGAAATAGTAATAAGTGGGGTTTAGTCAGCTATAACTCCAGCTGTTAATATTTTATTGACAGTCTTTTTATACATATCTAGAAAATACAGATTTTAATATATTGCATGTGTAGATTCAAAAGGTATTTTGTGGAGAATAACATTTCATTATTATAGTGCTTGCCTTCTTTAACAAAAGCACAGAAGTTGTATCCATCAGAGATATCCATATAGACTTAACAAAAATATAAGTTGAATTGCAAACACTCTCAGGTTGAGGGAAGAATTACATATCTGTCTGTCTGTCTGTCTGTCTGTCTATCTATCTATCTATCTATCTATCTATCTA